GAGATGCTAATGTCATAATGAAATGCTAATGTCTTATTGGCTGTGTCACTGAAGTGCACTGTTATATAAATCTTATCTGAAATTGAGAGATAATCATCTTTTCAGTTTTAAAAGTAAATGGAAGAATTCACTGTTAGATTGATGGAATTATTATTAAACAAATTCTTTTATATTATGGTTTTTGAAATTGTTTGTGTGAATATATGTGAGTTAGGAAGGGAGGGAGAGAGAGAAAGACACACGCATGCATGCACACACAATTACCAGACACAGAGAAAATGTGTGTATCTAAGCTCTCCAAAATGAACAAGAGTGTGTCTAGACTATGGGGGACGTCTATGATTACAGAACATTTATTTTTAAAAATATTTTATTATATTTTACCTGTATGAGTGTACTGCCTGCATGTATGTAAGTGCACACCTGTCATGCAATGCCTGCGAAGGTCAGAAGAGAGCACTGGATTCCCTGGAACTGGAATTGCGGACAGTTGGTAGCTGCCATGTGGATGCTGGAAACTAAACCTGGGTCCTCTGCAAGAGCAGCCAGTGCTCTTAACCTTGGAGCCATCTCTCCAGTCCCACAATTAGAGAAAATTCAAACTTTGATTTTTATTTCATTTTTTAAAAAACTTTTATTCTCTTTAAATTTTGATTTCTTAAAATAATTTTTTTCTAGGAATGTGGTCTCTGGGTCTTGACAGATGCAAACCTTGTGAAGGACAATATTGATGGTGTTTGTAAGTAAAATCTGGCAATATGCTTGTAAAATATTTGCATTTTACCCCAGATATTTAACATTACTTCTATGGGGATGGGTACTTTTTGGTTCAATATGACTGTTGTGTCCTGAAATGTTTTAACTTTATCCACTTTGGAAGGACATTTGAGCCATGACATGGAATGTCTTCTGGATTCCTGTCTAGGCTTTAAAACGAATACTTGTTTGCCTTTCCTAGTTTTATTTATTTATTTTTTTGAGGTGGTTATAACTATACTATAATCTGGATGCATTGGAAGAGCTTGTGATTGTGTTGCAAACTGTGCTATTATTTTGGAAGTAGTTGAAAGGAGCAACAAGTTCTGAAACACTTGTGCTCTCTGGCTTTTGGACGCTTGCCTAAAAATAGCCAAGAATGTCTCAAGGAGGTCCTTTCTCTCTGTGTCTCTGTGTCTGTCTGTCTTTCTCTCACACATACAAACACACACACACACACACACACCCATGCACACATACAAACACACACACACACACACACACACACACACACCCCTTATCAGTCTGGCCAGCATGGCTCTATCTATGTGTCATAGCTCCCTAAATGTTTTTAAAGGATTTTTTTAGTGATTATTAGTTTTTATTCTATGTATATGAGTGTATTACCTGCATGTATGTAAGTACACCTATGATGTGCAGTGCCCACAAAAGTCAAAAGAGGTTGTCGGATCCACTGGCACTGGAGTTTCGAATAGTTGTTAGTCACTGTGTGTGTTGGGAATTGAACCCTGCTCCTCTGCAAGAGCAGCCAGTGCTTGTAACTGCTGAGCTGTCTCTCCAGTAAATGTGTTTTTAGGAACAAGTCATAAGAGATTTTGACTGAATTATGAATAATAATTGTTAATTGTAGAAGTTACTCTATTTTCAAAGGCAAAATTATACTAATGTCTCCTTGAGAGGTGTCCAGAACTTTTACAGTTCATAAATCTGAATTCCCTGTTTCTGTTAGGACTTCTCAATCACTTCACACCAAGTCCCAGGCCAAAATATGACACCTCGAGGCTCTCTATAAAAGATCATTTTATTATCTTGAAGATTTATGAAGTTATTATGATCTATATTAAAACCATTGGTGCATTTAACTTTCGTCATCATATTCTCTATCCTTTGCAACTTTTAAAATACCTATTTGTATCTAGTGTTCAGTTCTAACTTCTGTTTTTGTCTACATATATGCAGTCCTGTCTAATACCTATTATAGTACTTAATTTATTGTCAGTAATGTGGTCAGACCCCTGTGCCCATGTGTTCCACATTGGTGCATTCAACCATCTGTAGATTGAAAATATTTAATTGATTAATTAATTTTTATTTATTTATTTATTTTTATTTTGTATGTATGAGTGTTTTGCCTGCATGTATGTAAGTGCACCATGTCATGCAGTTCCTGTGGAGACCAGAAGAGGGCATCTGTTTCTCTGGAGCTGGAGTTACAGATAGTTGTTAGCTGCCATATGGGTGTTAGGAACTCAACTTGGGTCTTCTGCAAGAGCAGCCAGTCCTCTTAATCATTTAGCTGTCTCTCCAGCTCTGAAAATATTTTGAAAAATGATTTCTGTACTGAACATATTCAGACTCTTTTTATTCTTGTTACTGCATAGTATAACAACTATTTACACAGTATGGGAGTGTGTAAACTCTGAAAATGCTAGTCAATAGATAGTGATTGTATTAAGTGCATACCTAGCATGTGTGAGGTAATGGGGATTCCAACTTGTTCTAGTGGGCAAACCAAGACACACAGAGTGATTGCTAAGGGTCATGATGGAGAGGGACAGCGTGTCACAGGAGGACAGGGGGTACCCAGAGACAGAGCAGAGTTGTCTCCTAAATCTTACCTCTTCACCGCTGCACGGCCTCTGGCTACCATCCTGGCCTCCTTGTCCATTGCGGTGGTCTTCTAACATTGTTCCAACAGCCTTCATTTTGCCAGAGCACCAAGCATTGTTCACACCGATGCCAGAGTTATCTTTGTAAAACATGGACTAAGACATGGTTTATCTTTATTTAAAAACCTTCAGTGATCATTTAAAGGGTATAATCTGAAGCCTTCAGTCTGACTTACTTTATATATTCAAATCTGAACCTAACATCTTTTCTCTTTTCATTTATGGCATCGTCACCAAATACGCACTGTATTTTTGGCATGTTTTGCCTTTGGCTCACATTTTTTTTTTCAGTGTGGGATGCCCTTTATTGAAAGGCTTAAAGAAATGAAGTACAAAAAACTTAGTTTCTTTAGAATATTAGAATATTTTCCTGGTCACACCCTTTCATTATTCAGACTCTTTGTAAAGTTAACTATTTTCTACATTGTAGACCTTTGGTAGCTGTTGTCTTAACCATGTTTATTACAATTTTTATCCTCTTTATAGACTATGAATAGATTTGCTGTATTCATATTTATATCCTTTGGCACCTGCTACACTGTAGTTTAATTTTCTTTACGTTGTATTTTTAAATAATTTAAATTTACAGAAAAGTTGAACAATGGAGATACACAATCCAAAGTCTAGATAGCCACGTGCATTTCTATTGTAAAATCCAATAACTGAATGATTATAGTATCCTATGGCTGGTGTAGCCAAAGGTCATCAGGACCAAGGAAGTTTAAAAAGAGGCGAGTATAAAAATTATAGGTGGTTTTTAAAAATGTGATCTAAGGGGCTGGAGAGATGGCTTAGTGGTTAAGAACACTGGCTGCTCATCTAAGGATCCGGGTTTGGTTCTCAGCATCCACATGGTGGCTAACAACTGTCTTTAACTCCAGTTCCAGGGGATCTGATGCCATCCTGTGGCATCTGTGGACACTGCATGACACAGGCACACATATATGCAGGTAAAATACGCACATAAAATAAAAATAAACAAATGTTTGATTTAACTTAAAAAATTTAAGCTAGAATTTATTTTATTTTTATTTTATGTGCATGAGTGTTTTGCTTGCATGTATGTAAATATGCCACTTGTAGGTAATGCCTGTGGAAGCCAGAAGAGGGTCTTGGATCCCCTGGACCTGGAGTTACTGGGTGCACTGTAAGAACACTGAATGTTTATTTTTAGCTCTGAGGTCACTTTTTGTGTGGTTTTGGTAAGTCACTTGGGTTTTCTGCCTCCCAGCTTTCTCCTCCACAAGATGAGGGGGTTGGACAAGATGAATTCTAAACTTCATTCTGCAGAGTGTGCTAGGGTTACAGTTCACTCCCTCCAGTGGCCCTCCTTTCCCTTGCCAATGTTTATTTCTAGATGATACTGCTGAGTATGCTGAGAGGTTTGTGGAGGAAACTGAGGCATACCGGGTGGATCATCAAGACTTTTCTTCAGTTAGCAATGTGCATGTCCGAAAGCATTTTCCAGCGACTTGGATTTGGCTGGACAACCACATGGGGTAAAGGTTTATAAAGTTCTTTATCCATTTATATTTTGCTTACTCTATGTTTTGAATAAGTTTTCCCTAGTTTCTTACATGTTTTAAGTACAAATGTAGTGTTTTGATGAACTAAGTTCATCAAGGGCTTTTTGGTGTAGAATAATGTTGATTGATGTTAACTACAGTATTTAGTACCATCAAGGAGATGATGAACATTTTAAAAGTGAAGGTTGAGGGGCTGGAGAGATAGCTCAGTGGTTAAGAACACGGGCTGTTCTTGCAGAAGACCCGGGTTTGAATCCCAGCACCCACATGGCAGCTAACAACTATCTGTAACTCCAGTTCCGGGGAATCCCATAGCTTCTTCTGTTCTCTGCGGGCATGGCATGACACGGGTGCACTTACCTACATGCAGATAATACATGCATATACATAAAATAAAAATAAATAAAATATTTTTTTAAAAAAGTGAAGGTTGATTTTAACTTCCTTGAAGTCTTCTGGCTCATGTTGGAGAAAAATACCTAATAGCAGTGACAGGGATACAGAAAAAAAATTTTTTCTCTGTAAAAACGAGAGAAGAAAATCGAAGTAATGCTTGAAAATATGTATTCTCTCTAAAAAGTTTATAAAATATAGTAGTCAATTGTGAAGATATAAACTGTTTTTTTTTTTTGTCTTTTTGAGACAGGTTTCCTTGTAACCCCAGCTGTCCTGGAACTCGCTATGTAGACCAGGCTGGCCTTGAACTCACAAAGATCTGCCTGCTCTGCCTCCCAAGTGCTGGGATTAAAGGCGTGTGCCACCATGTCCAGCTATAAACTATTTTTAAAAAATATTACTTTTATTTTATTTTATTTATTTTTTATTTTTGGTCCTTTTGGGACAGGATCTCCCTGTAGCCCCAGCTGACCTGGAACTCACTATGTAGACCAGGCTGGCCTTGAAGTCACAGAGATCTGCCTGTCTCTGCCTCCCAAGTGCTAAGACTATAGGCGAATGCCACCATGCCTGGCTATTTTTATGTGAGTGTATTGCCTATATGTAAGTGCACTTGTATCATGCCATGCCCACGGAGATCAGAAGAGGACATCAGATCTCCTGGAATTAGAGTTACACATGGTTGTTAGTCATCATTGTGGGTCCTGGGAATTGAGTGCTCCTAACTACTCAGTCATCTCTCTAGTCCCTTAAAAACTATTTTTTGAGAAATTGAGATGTACTTTTTTTAATGTTGAGTGATTTTAAAATTAGATATGTAGGCTGGGCGTGGTGGTGCATGCCTTTAGTCATGCAGAGGCAGGTGGGTCTCTGAGTTCAAGGCCAGCCTGGTTTACCTAGTGAGTTCTAGGATAGCTGGGGCTACAGGGAGACCCTGTCTCACAAAGACCAAAAAAACCAAAAAGATATGTAAATGATACAGAAAATTAAAATTCTTCTGAAAAGTGTTTAGGTTATGTTGTCTTATTTCGAAGTATGTGTATTCTTGTTTTTATAATTTCTATATTTATCTTGACTTTAGATCTAAGATTTACCAAGACTTTGAAGTTACTGTACCTGATTCTATCACTTCTTGGGTAGCTTCTGCTTTTGTGATCACAGAAGACTTAGGCCTTGGACTAACAACTGCTCCAACAGAGGTAAACTGTCAAAGGCCTTCTCACTATTTTCCAGTACTAGGAAGCCAAGCAAAGGAGTGATTATCGTTTGCTGTGTTTATCAGACTTCACGGATTCTTTGGCTTTATCTTTTTGCTTTTCATCTGTATTAAAGTAAAACCATTATCATCATCATCATCATCATCATCATTGTGTGTGTGTGCCACAGCGTGCATATGGAGGTCAGAGGACAACCTTGTGGAGTCAGTTCTCTTCACCTACCATTATGTGGGTTCCGGGGTTTAAACTCAGGTTGCCAGACTTGTATAGCTAGTGGCTTTACCCACCGAGCCATTTTGCTGGCTCTGTGTTAAATTTTTTGAATCTGAGTTATATTAAATTGATAGATTTGGCTATGAAGTTTATTATTGACCTGATGTAACAATTTCCAGTGGCCAGATTACTTTAAAGATGAGCATAAACTTCTCAAGTTGTCTCCTAGCAGGCATTCTTCCATGACCACAGTAAAAATTTATCACATCTTGTTTTCAGTTACAAGGACCATGAACGGTCTTCGACCAGTACCTGTCACTTTTGTTATACCTGAAACCTTCTGTTAACAGTAGATATTTGTGTTGCTTCTTACCATCATCCCTAAGTGAAAGTCATAGACAACAAAATATGCATATATACAGAATTTCTCCAAAGACTATGCAAGTAAAAATAAGGTAAAATGAAGGAAAGTACTGTAAATGACGCAATACGAATTTTAATATGTAAGCGACAGGCCCTGCTAGAAGTGAGAGTGACACATGTCAATGTTTATACCAGGCTTAGAATCTCCTTGTGTTAACAGTTAGAAATGCAGGTTTCTATGCAACTTTGAATGCCTGTGGTGGTATGAATTTCTGAAAAGACGAACAACTTTTAGCAATATTTTACACAAAACAAGCTTTGGTTCATAAAATATTACATTCATGAAAAATTCAGTGTGTATTGAAAAGTGCTTTGGGTTTTTAATGGTAGAAGCTTGGGTCATTTTAAACAGGTAGTTTATTTATATAAATGTCTAAACAAATATCCAATAGATATAGATACCCATACGGCACCTCAAATTATATGATCTGTGGAGGTCCAATACACCCAGCAACAAAAATATTTTTATGTCCTGAATATAAACCACATGCTAATAAGGAAAAATACCAAGAATTACGAGGAATATGAGAAAATTTTTCATTGTTTAGGTCAATCCTGAGTACTGACAATCCACCAAGTGCCAATAGTATCCTTCAATCACTGTGGCAACCTAAGATAGTCAATCTACAAACGCCCTTGTAAACTTTGTAGGCATGACTTTTGGTAGTTTTGACATTGTGATGCAGCACTGTGACCTACAAAGTTCCAGGTTGAGAAATGTGCAGTTGAGTTTCAAAGAATAAATATCTCCAGTGGGGAGTGGTGGTGCTCACCTTTAATCCCAGAACTCAGGAAGCAGAGGCTGGCAGATGGCTGTGGGCTACAGGGAGACACTGTCTCAAAAAGACCAAAAAAAAAAAAAAAAAAAATCCACCCCACAAAAGTCCCTCAAAAAAAAACCCAACAACCAAAAATCAATGTTTGAAGTAAGTTTGTGATTTTGTATTGGGCTGGGCTACATTCACGGCTTGGGTTGGACATTAGAGGGCCCCACTGCTACCAGCCTGGCCATATGCTTAGTCTCAGGCAGGGGAGGGCTGGCCTCTCCTCTATGTCTTAGCTAACACTTCCAGAATTGGGTCGCCCAGGGATTGTGTGTGTGTGTATGTGCATGTAAGGAGAGTAAACCACATGAGAGTTCCCCCACTTTAGTCTAAAACAGGGATGGTTCAATTACACAGTGACTTTTTTTTTTTTTTTTTTTAGTCTTTTTGAGACAGGGTCTCCCTGTAGCTCCAGCTGTCCTGGATTCGCTATGGAGACCAGGCTGGCCTGGAACTCACAGAGATCTGCCTGCCTCTGCCTCCCAAGTGCTGGGATTAAAGGCGTGCACCACCACGCCCTGCAGTGGGACAGTGACTCTTAAAGCAGATTGTGAAGTTGTTACAGTGTAACAGAGGGACAACCTCTTTTGGTATCAGACAGTATGCAATGCAACTCTGGCTTTCTTACGTGTAGGTAATACGAACTTGTACTAGTTACAGAGATTTCTGAACACCAGTTTTTGAAAACATGGATAAGAGTATAAAATTAGGGACACAGTGATAACACAAATAACATATGAAATGGCTAGTACCTATTAGGTACTTAATATAGTACAGTAATTATTATGTTCAAAACAAGTAACTTGGTGTGGGTTGCTTGCTTTCTGTTGATGGGCAAGTGAACATGTCTAAGTGTTACAGGCTTCACAGGCTGTGTGGGAATTGCTCTAAGTTGTATACCACATGACACACTTTTTTTTTTTTCCTGAATAAAAACATGTACTCACTGTGTTCTTTCTAGCTACGGGCCTTCCAACCATTTTTCATGTTTTTGAATCTTCCCTACTCTGTTATCAGAGGTGAAGAATTTGCTGTGGAAGTAACCATATTCAATTATTTGAAAGATGCTGCAGAGGTAATGTATTCAAGGTCTTGTCAATTATCTGTACCAGAATTGTTTGGGCTATGCAGTGCTTGGGCATCAGGGTGTCCAAGCTCTTTATCTTTTGTGACCACCATAACCATTGTTTTGGCTTTATATGTTTATTGGTTTTTTGTTTTTGTTTTTTTCACATTGAAAGTGTTTATTTTTAAATGTCAAGAGGAAACGGAGTAGTAACAGAGTCAACTTTTGGCACCTTTCCAGTCCATCACCCCCATGTCCTTCCCAACACAAAGCACTGGCAAGATGGGCTGCAGGACAGTCACAAAGTGACTCACAGAGATGGGCAGGTGGGATTCAAGAGTCCATCCCAGAACCCCTGTCCCAGAATAGGGTCAGAGCTCAGGGGCATAGGGCTTCCCAGTGGGTGAAGGGAACTCAGCATCGTGCCTCACCACAGTGAAGAGTCCCACCACTGCCAGCAAAGCCATCAGCATGACAGCAGAGCAGCTGCTGAACATGTTCCGAGTGCCTGTTTTCCGATCACTGTCTTGGAGGACAAGACGCCCTAAGTGGGCTAGTAAGTGCAGGGACACCCGGAACCAGTTGCGTACCCAGCCTGCTCTGTCTCAGGGATCACCTTTCTCCGCAGGAAGCTCATGCTGGGAAAGTAGAGACCACAGGCCAGCTCGATAAGTAGAAAGGCGATGAAGGATTCCACAGGACCCTCCCGGCCTGGGCTGGTGGAGAAAGTCAACATGAAGAGAGAGAAGACAATGATGAGAACAGCAAGGGACAAGCAGGTTCATGGGTTGACGGTGGTACCTCTTGGAGGCAGCAGTGAGGTACAGGGAAGAACCCAGAAGGCTGGCAGCCATGAAGCTAGAGAAGACAATGCCCAGTGGGGTCCCATGTGGGTCCAGCACAGGTGTCCAGAGGAAGACAAATATGAAGATGACACTCTCAAACAGGGCCTGTATGGTGCCCAGCAGCAGCACTCGGCGGTCAGACAGGAGGCAGCGCAGGCCTCCAGCACAGGTCCTGGAGAAGGCCTGCTGCCTGTCATAGTTCTCTTCCCAGTTTCAAAGGGCCAAGACCCCAGTCAGAGCCAGCAGAGGGGTGGCGGCCACAAAGGGTGCTACGGGTCCCAGTCCCATCCAGCTAGCCACGGCCTCAGCAGCAACACCTGCCGCCACAGCCAGCACATGGTTCCAGAAGGCAGCCCGGGCAAAGGTGGCTGGGATCCACTCGGCATGTTCCACGTGCTCATGGACGTACCCGGCCTCAAAGGCTGAGAAGAAGAGGGCGGTGGACAGCCCACCAGGGCTTGGCCTCCGAGCAGCACAAAGAAGTCTTGAGAGAGTTTGGTCAAGCAGCACAGAGAGTGAGTGAGGGAGAAGAGGACACCAGACTTCTTACGACCCAGCCAGTCCACAAGGGAAGAGGCCACAAGGCCAAAGAGGAACGTGGAGGCGAGGCCACAAACGTAGAGGATAGCGATTTGACCCTCCAAGAAGTGGTAATGTTGATAGAGTTTATGCAGGTAGGTGGCTTGGAGCCAGTTAGCTGCCAGGGCCAGGAAGTAGACCTGGTAGAAGTCTAGTTGAAACTGAAGGAAGGACGCATTGCTGCAAGCCCTTCCAGGGGGCTTAGCCCGGCGTCTTGACAGCTCCAGGCCCAGGCAGGAGGCCAGGAGGCCCACAAAAGACAGGTAGACGGTCACCAGCATGGTCGGCCCCCGGACGACCTGCAGCCCCTGTCTGCAGGGGACGATCCGGACACGTCCAGCTCCAGGCCGCCGGGCTGCCCTCCCCGCACTGGCTCCCACTCTGTCCGGCCGCTGAAGCCCGGCCTCCCACCGCTACCCCGGAGCCGAACTGTGGGTGCCGGGAACCAGGCGAGCAGAGCAGCTGGAAGTCGCAGCTGCTGGGACTTGTCGGGTGCCACTCGATCCTCCCACTCGCAGGTTACTTGAGGGACCACCCCAAATAAATGCCGATTTTGTCTGCTTTCCTCCGTGCTGAGCCTGGGAAAGATGCCTGCAGAGCCCCCGGCTGCCCTGTGAACGCCACTGTCCTAAGCTTGGCTGCTCCTGCTCCGGGGTTTGCTTCATCTGCGGAAGTGACCTCTAGGCCAGCAGTCAGTGTTATCTAGACACCTGAGGGCGATAGTGTGGTGTAAACAACGTGGACTCTGGGGTTCCAGGGAAATTACAGTCCTTCATGGCCAGGAGGCATGGTGGCTGGAGGTGGCTGGACCAGGAGCAGCAGAAGCTAAGCTCTCACATCATGGCGCAGCAACAGGAAGCAAGGGATGTTTATTGGTTTTTATCCTTTCAACTTGTTAATTTCAGATTCTTAAACTTTTTAATTTTTTCTTTGACAATTTCATACATGTATATAATACTTTCTGGGCGTACCTACCCCTCATTACTGGCCTCCCACTCTCATCACCTCCCCTCCCAACAAGTCCCCTTCCCACTTTCATGTCTTTTTGTTTTGGTTTTACTTTTGTGACCTGCTGCCTTTAACCAGGGTCACCCATGTGGGCATGGGTATGGAGATAGCTACTGACCAAGGAGCAGTTTACATAACTAAAGACACTGCTCTCCCTCCCCCAGTGGCCATCAACTGTCAAGAGCTCCTTGGGCAAAGGCTGAGACCATGAGCCCCTCCTCCTTCTGTAACTGAATGTTGTGGGCCTAGTCTTGTCCAGGCCTGTATGTAGGCAACTACAGCTGCTATGAGTTTATGAGTACAGTGACTGTGCCTGGCCCAGAAGACAGTATCTCACAGCTATCCTCTCCATCACCCAGTTCTTAACATTTTTTTCACCCCTTCTTCCTTGATGTTCCCTGAGCTTTGGAAGGGGTGATATGGTAACTCTTTTGGTTTGAGTGTCAGTACCTTGACCAGCTGGTACTACATTAACCACTGTTTGCTGCTGTGACTAGGGTTGAGGGTAGCACTAGTCTATAAACATAAATATTTAGGACGAGGTTTGACAACAGTAAAACAAGAGCAGTAGGTTCACCATTAGAATCTATGACTTGCCCAGCCCTGGGCCTTTGAGTAGGTCCACAGTAATAGCCATGAATTTCCTCCTTCAGAGAGAGCCTCAGAAGCAATCAGAAAGCAGTTGACTATCACTGTAACAGTCATGGCACTGCTGCTCCAATGGGCATGTCTTGCATGGCAGATTGGTACTGTAGCATGCAAGATTCACCTCTGGGTAAGACGTTGACAGATTTTCTTCCGAAGTTGACCATATAGCAGCTGTTGACATTTAGGGGGCTAGCCAGCAGGGAGGACACTTCCGGCTCAGTTCCTGCATTTCTCCGTGTCTTGTAACCAGCGTATCTTCAGAAATAGAGTCTTATCATCTGGTTTTTGTAGGCAACCAAGACAGTGACAATAACCTCTCTTGTTTGGGGGGTTATTGGGGCCTCCCTGACCAACAACTCGTAGGGAGGTATCACACATCTGGAACTGCTCCAAGCATTTTATACATTGCCTGGGACTGAAAATAGATATACTTTGTTGGTGATTAATTCTGCCTATTTATGTCTGGGTCTATCATGAGCACGTCTGCCGGGGAACTTCCCTAAGGTCCTGGGCTTGCCTTTCTCTCTTGCCTGCCTGCATGTTTCCTGGCCCTCCATGTCTAGAATGTCCTTTACTCATCGCCATTTTGTATCCACTGCCATTGGCAAGAATTTGTTCTCTTCAAGACTTGCCTTGCGGCTAGGAGGCCTTTCCCGCAGACCCTCACCCACTCTGTTGTGTTTGTAGTCCCCATGGTTATTCAGTGCAGTATGTTTTCAAGGATTTATTTTGTGAGTTGTGTTCCTGTGCCTCCTGGAAGGCAGAGATTAGGATCAGTATTTGTGTTGTGTCTACAGTAGTAATAGTAACCACATGGTGAATTTTTCTGCCCTAGAGTAATAAAGCATGTGTCGTTAACTTTATTGTGCAAAATGCCATCATTTAAGTACTTATATTGACATAGTAAGCTTTTAAAGAAGATTTGGTTATTACATTTTTTGGTTTTAGAAATTAATTTCTCCCACTGAGCTATATGCTCAAGCACCAACTTTTAATTTTATTTTTTATGTTTTTTTTTTTTTTTTTTTTTTTTTTTGAGAACGGGTTTTCCTAATAGCAAGCTGGCCTGGAACTTGCTATGAGACCAGGCTGACCTTGATCTCACAGAGATCCACCTGCCTCTACCCCCTGAGTGCTGGAATTAAAGGCTAGCACCACCGTGCCAGCTGTCAGCTTTTTATTTTATAGCTATACTTTTAAATGTGGTTAGATTTTTAAAGTGTAACAAGCAAAGGATCCAGTCAGAAAGGACTATAATATCCAGTCTGCTACTTATTAGCAAATAGCTTGATAATTGTAGTTTCCTTATCTATTAGGTGGGAATTATAGTTATTATATAAACAAAAATTACTACTGGAGACCTACAGGCCTCTCTCCAACCCGCAGACCTCTCTCTCAGGGTAGGTTGATCCCGCCTTCTGTGCCTCGACACCCCCAGCCTCATTCACACTCCCATCTCCCCCGCCTGTCTTTCCTCCTAGCCTGGGTTCTGTCCCATTCTTTGTCTTGGCTCCCCAGACACCTGGGCAACAACCACTGCTTCCTGATCCTTTGCATTCAGACCAACGTAGTGCCCTCTCTGGGCCCCAGGAGCACTGCTTCTGGGCCTGGCCCTGCCCTCACCTCCCTCTGCTTCCCTGTGCCTGCACCACTGGCCAGCCTCTTTCCTGGACACCCGGACTGACCTTTCCTCTTCCTGATCCTTTGCATCCAGACCAACCAAGCTCCTCAGTGCAGTCCCCAGGAGCCCTTGGGGCTGCTTCCCACCCCGTCTTCCTTTGCATCTCTGGGTGGCACAGCCACCAGCTGCCCTAGACCAGCATCTTTCCTGGGCCTGGCTCCCAGGCCAGTCCAACCCCCAAATTCCTGAGGCCAAAAACTTTCCTAGAGGGATTCAGACCTTAGGAGAAAGCCTGAAAACATCTGATCCTCATCTGACTTGGGCCTCTGTGGGAATTCCTGAAGACAAAAGCAATCTGGCCACTCCAATATAAAATCAAAAGAGAGAACTGGAAGCTTAGAGGAGCCGGTTTTTCATGCCCAAAAAGTAAACCACAAAGATACACAAAGTTTACAAAAAGAAGCAGACCTAAACTTGAAGGCTTTCGTCTCACACAAGAATCAGAAACTACAAAAAAAAAATTCACATGTCAAAATCACAGAGAAAAAATAACATGAAAAACCAAAATAACATATCCCCACCAAATATCAATAGTCCTCGAGAGGAGTACAATGAGAACCCCCTAGAGATAATGCAGGACACGGAACTTAAAAGAACAGTTATAAACATCATAAAAGAATTCGGTGAATTTAAAGAACACACAAAAAAAATCAAAGAACTGAAGGAAGACAGGGATAAACTTCTGAATGAATTCAGAAAGAAGTGAGAAATATTGAAGAATACTCAGGCTGAAATGAAGAAGGGAGTAAAATACTCAGTAAGCCAATTAGAAATGACAGGAGAAAGCCTCACCAATAGGATGAACGAAATGGAAAACAGAGTATCAAGACTGGAAGATAAAGTGGACGAACTAGACCACTCAAGCAAAGACTATGAAAAATTTAAGAAATCACAAGAATGGAATATGCAGGAATTGAGTGATACCATAAAAAGACCAAA